CCAGTGGTGTTGGTGCGGTTGGAATTCTGGACCGGTGGTGTTGGTGCAGCCTGGGTCCATTCGTTGTTTTCCTTGACATCCAGCCTCCTCGCAGCTATGTGATCACGGAGCTGATGCAGAGCGACCTCCACAAAGTCATCGTGTCTCCCCAGCCCCTCACCACGGACCACATCAAGGTCTTCCTCTACCAGATCCTCCGAGGTGGGTCTCCGCTCAGAGAAACCTGGACCTCCTGAGTCCAGATTGAAAGCATCAACACTGTGTCTTCTCTGGAACAAAGAGCTTCAGCAGCATCAGATGAAAAACCCATCCATCCATCATCTTTACCCACTTCTTCCTTTTTGAGTTGCGGGGGTTGCCCGTGTCCAAATCCAGCAGTCACTGTGCGAGAGGCAGGGGACACCTGGACAGGTCTCCAGTCCATCACAGGAACACCTGGACAGGTCTCCAGTCCATCACAGGGACACCTGGACAGGTCTCCAGTCCATCACAGGAACACCTGGACAGGTCTCCAGTCCATCACAGGGACACCTGGACAGGTCTCCAGTCCATCACAGGGACACCTGGACAGGTCTCCAGTCCATCACAGGGACACATGAAAAATAAATTTTATAATTTGAATGTTTAGTCCTTAAAACCAGGCAAATTCATTCAACCTTTATTTCTACAGGTTAGTGTCGTTGAGCCTGGAGGACTGATTTACAACAGAGACCTGATTAAACAAAGAACACATGAGGACCAGACAACAACAGTCATATAAAAACATATAAATTGAGTAAATAGAAGAAATGAAATTAAAACAAAACAAAAACATCTACGTTATAAATGTAAAACGCTAAAAACATTAATGTGTCTGCGTTGGTTTTTGCCATGAACTTTAAATAAAATAGAATGAAGGTTCTCAGCAGCGTCAGAACGGGTTCAGACCTGCGGTTCGGCTCGGTCCGGTTGGATGGGGACCATTGCTGGTGTCCCCAGGGATGTTTGACAGGGCTGTGGCAGGTCCACAGTAGGACAGTCAGATTTGTCCCTCTGAGTTTTGGGCTGGGTCGGGTTGGACGGTGACTTTAATGTTTTTACATTTTGTGACTGATCCAGAAGTTCTGGATCAATAATCAACAAACAAAATAATCATTAGTGGCTCTGCAGCGGCCCAAACATTACGGTTCAGCGGCGCTGTGTGGGCCCAGCTGGGTCTTGGTATCATCTGTATCGTGCTGGAAGGTGACCTTGAGGTCCTCTCTGTTCCTGCATCCAGAACTTCTTTATACTTGAACCCTGACCATCCCCTGCAGCCGAAGACACCACCACATCATGATGCCACCACCACCGGGCTTCACTGTTGGGATGGTGTCGGCAGGTCCTTTGACCTCCTGGTTTGTGTTTTTGTTCCGATTGACTGTTTGGACGCCTTCTGTAGAGACGTGTGTCCTGTCCAAATCAGGTGGACTCAAGCTCCAGGTCTCTGTGGGCCAGAGCAGAAAAACTGGAGGGTTGGACTCTGACCCAAACATCTCAGCAGATATCAAAACAGACAAGTGTGAATACTTGAAAAAACATCTTTTTCTGTTTTTATTTGTGGAAAAATGGACAGAATGTCACTTTATGATACCGAGTGCAGATTAATGAGACGGTCGAATATTTACATAGACTCTGTCAGACGCTGCAGAACCAGAAACCCAATTCAGGAGGAGCCAGACACCCAGGAGACATTATTAACTCGAGTGTTGATGTGGACGCCTGATGGACACCACGAGGATGATGATGTTGTCTTTCTCCTTCAGGTTTGAAGTACCTGCACTCTGCTGGGATCCTGCACCGAGACATCAAACCTGGAAACCTGCTGGTCAACAGCAACTGTCTGCTGAAGGTGAGGACGTCTGTCCGAGGACGTGTGTCTGAGGACACCTGTCTGAGGACACCTGTCTGAGGACACCTGTCTGAGGACACGTGTCTGTGGACGCGTGTCTGAGGACACGTGTCTGAGAACACCTGTCTGAGGACACCTGTCCGAGGACGTGTGTCTTTGGACGTATGTTGAGGACGTCTCCTGAGATGTTTGTAAACAATAAATGTCTTTCTGTCAAACTGGACTTGATGTTTTGTTCTGGTCAGATCTGTGACTTCGGCCTGGCCCGTGTGGAGGAGCCCGACCCGTCGCGTCACATGACCCAGGAGGTGGTGACCCAGTACTACCGGGCTCCGGAGGTTCTGATGGGCTGCCGGCACTACGGCTCGGCCATTGATGTGTGGTCGGTGGGCTGCATCTTCGCCGAGCTGCTGGGACGGCGGATTCTGTTCCAGGCTCAGAGCCCCATCCAGCAGGTGAGACCCCCGGTACCGACCCAGACTAGAGTTGCATTTGGGCCTAATAAATCCGGACCGGACTGTGTTTTTTTTTTTCCCAAGCCCTACCCGGACCCAACGTATTACTGGTAATTAGAGGGCCGAACCCCCCCAAAAAAAGACGACAGTTTTTTTTTTGTTAAATTAAGCTTTTACTGATTTTGTAAGCAAATCAGTTTTAAAAACATAAAGAAAGGAAGATATAAGATTTATTTTTAGAAACAAGTCCCCAAATGGATGTTAACAAAACTTATACTGTGAACCCTCGTTTTTCACGGGGGTTACGTTCCAAAAAGAACCCGTGATAGGCGAAATCCGTGAAGTAGTAACCTTTATTTTTTTTTACAATTATTATACAATGAAATACTCCATAATACATTCAAACCAAAGAACAAAACCTTTTTACAGGCCCAAGCATTTGTTTAACTAATAAAAGTACTGTATAAACGTTTTTTACAAATAACTACTGTACTGGAGAGACTGTTTAGCCAATCAGAATGCACAATGCACGATGCAAATCCGTGAAGCAGCGAGACCGCGAAAGGTGAACCGCGTTATAGCGAGGGTTCACTGTAACCTAAAAGTCAACCGTAAAGATCGGCTGTGATGAACGAAACAATTTTTAGAACTAAATTATTTGGAAAAATATAGAACAAGCCAGAGCTGCTGCCTCTCAGCGAGCAGGTCCTTGGTTCAAACCCCGGTCCAGGGGCCTTTCTGGGTGGAGTTTGCATGTTCTCTCCGTGCATGCGTGAGTTTTCTCCGGGTACTCCGGTTTCCTCCCACAGTCCAAAAACATGCATGTTAGGCTGATTGGTAACTCTAAATTGTCCCTAGGTGTGCGTGAGAGAGTGAATGGTTGTTTGTCTCGTTTGTCTCTATGTGGCCCTGTGATGGACTTGCGACCCATCCAGGGTGTACCCCGCCCCTCGCACAGTGATTGCTGGACATGGGCACCAGTGACCCCCGTGACCCAAAATGGAATAAACGGGTAAAGAAAATGGATGGATGGATAGAACAAGCCAGCGGTCAGCTGATTCATCCATCCATCCATTATCTTTACCCGCTTCTTCCTTTTCGGGTAGCGGGGGTTGCTGGTGCCCATGTCCAGCAGTCGCTGTGCGAGAGGTGGGGGACACCCTGGACATGTCTCCAGTCCATTTCAACCAGTGAGCCAGCGGACGTGTACGGACGGTGACAGGTGTCCATCTGAACTTAAGACTTTTTTAACTTCTTTCCACCGGTCGGACCTGCCTCCTCCTCAACAAGTAGATTAACACCATTTTGTATTGTGCATTTAGTTTTCTTTGTTCGATTCATAAAACTGCATCAAAGCCCGAGACCGGCCCGGCCTGCACATTAATAACATTATAACAGCCCGGACCGGCCCTAATCCAGGTCGGTCCGGGCCGGGTTTCGGGTTCAGGTTAGAAATGACAGCTCTAATCCAGACCACTCCCAGAACTAATTAAAGGCATGGATTGGACCTTTTAGAGTGGCGTTCTGAGGTAAGGTTCTGATGAGTTAATATCTTACCTGTTCTAGATGGCACTTTGAACAGTTGAAGAAACATTTTTATTCTAACCCAGATGACGAGCTAATGGCTAGTCTGACCCATACCCTTTCTGTTTTATAAAGCGTGGCTGAATGTGCAGTTGGCACACATGGTTGATTCAGTTTTTGGAAGTCATCTTGAGACCCTTCACTTGTTGTTCCACGGCCCTCAGTGGGTCCCCGACCCAACCCTTGAGACCCACAGCTTAAAATGACTCCAACATCCTCTATCAGCTCCTGCAGACATCTTTTACAAACTTTATTTTATTTTACACAATATTCCAGAGGAAAAGGTCGTTCCTGTACAGGAAGTGGCCTCAGGCTGCACAGGAAGTGCTACAGCCAGTTGCTGATGCTGGTTAAGTCCCCACCCCAACCCCTCCATGGGACGCAGGTTTGGTGTTTATGAACAATCCGCTTTGGTCTGAGCTGGGTTCTGAGCAGCCGTTAGCTCGTCAGATCCAGGTGGTTTAAAGAGCTGCGACAGGTAAGATACTGACCGCTGCACAGAACCCACAGCCTCCTGCGATCGTTTCAACAAACTCATCAGCAGAACCGGTCTTTGTTTTACTGTGCTGGTTTAATCAGAACCAGACCGCTGATCCGTGTTGTTGTTTCTGTTTCCTGTCCGGTCCAGTTGGACCTGATCACGGACCTGCTGGGAACCCCGCCTCTGTCGGCGCTGGCCTCAGCCTGTGAAGGAGCCCGGGCCCACATCCTGAGGGGGCCCCACAAACCGGTAGGTGTCGGCCCAGTTGTGCTCTCAGATGGGTTTGGGTTCGGGTCTGATGGGGTTTTGGTTCTGCTCCTCAGCCGTCTCTGTCGGTGCTCTACATGCTGTCGGACGGAGCCACGCACGAAGCCGTGCACCTTCTGTGCCGCATGCTGGTCTTTGATCCGGTGAGTCCTCTCGCCCACTCTGCGGCCCGACCCGCTCCGAGAGTTCTGCTCACCGGCATGTGTTTGTGTCCGTAGGCGAAACGGATCTCGGGCAGCGACGCTCTGTCCCACCCATACCTGGACGAGGGCCGGCTGCGGTACCACACCTGCATGTGTCAGTGCTGCTACTCGGTGCCCAGCGGGCGGGTCTACACCCGGGACTTCGAGCCAGCGGCCGAGCGGCCCTTCAGCCACAGCTACGAGAACAGCCTGCTGTCCGTGTGGCAGGGCAAAGGTGCGGCCCGGGCGGGTTCTGGTGCTGTGGCTGCTTCAATTTGTGGAAGCTAAAAGTGTTTTTGTTCCAGAGCTGATCCATCGCTTCATCACGGAGCACCAGCAGGGCAAACGGGTGCCGCTCTGCATCAACCCCCAGAGCGCCGCCTTCAAGACCTTCATCAGGTGAGCCCACAGGAAGTCCTGCCCACCTGCACGCCGTGCTCCTGGTCCTGAAGCCTCTCTGCTCTGCTCCTCAGGTCCACGGCGTGGCACTCCTCCAAGGTCTCCCGGAAGGAGGAGAGATGAGCTCCTCCTCGTCGTCGTCGCGGCGCTCTCACAGGAATCTTCTCCTCCTCCTCCTCCTCCTCCTCCTCCCGACTTCCTGAAAGTCCTCTGATCTTTTCCTCCTGAAGGTTCTGAACATGAAGAGTTTCTCCCCGAACATGATTTTGGTGCTGAATTTAAAAACTGCTGCTGAAGGAGGAAGCTGACTGGAGCCGGTACTGGAGCCGGTACTGAACCGTCTCTGCTCCATGAACACTTGGTGTCTTTGACTGAAGTCATTCCAGCGAGCTGCGACCCGCTTCGACCCATCAGGACAAACGTTACGTCTCTCTGTGTTTGTCTTGCGGCGTTGCCATGGCAACAATAATGCAACCCTAACCGATGTAGCAACACGTTCCTCCGCTTTTATTCTGGGACCTGGACCGGTGGAAGCAGTTTGTCAGCAGGCTCTACAGCAGGAACTCAGTGTTTTATTGTGAAGTGGTGTTCTGCTGCAGAAACAGGAAGTTTTCTTTTCCTCCGACCCCTCTGCCTGGTTCTTGTCCTGCTCAGCTCAGAGGTCCAGTCTGACGGTTCTGAGAGAAAAGTTTAATTTATTTAATTTTGTGGCGCCACCTCTTTTACCTCAAACCTTTGAAGACAAAGTCAAACTCTGAAGGTCCCGCCCTTTACAGCTTCACCTCCTGGTGTCTGGTTCTGACCCGCTCGAGGTTCTGCTGAGTAAAGTGCTGCTGCTGTTTAGTTTGTAGTTTCAGCCTCAGGTGTTCTGTTGTAACGATGAACTAAGAACCAGAACCTTCATCTAAATCAAGTTTTTACTCAGAGGTTCTGATGGATGGATCCAAAGGTTCCTCCGGTTCTGCTCCTGTGGTCCAATAACCCAGAAAGAAAATTGTCAGGACTTATTACTTCCTGTTTCTGGTTTGAAACCGGATCCATTCTTTGAGCTCAAGGAACCAGAACCTGCAGACGGCCTGGTTCTGATGGAGGGAAAAGGAAGTTCTCGTTTCGTTTCAGAGTTCTGACGACCCGAAAGAAAACCCACGAGCAACCGGAGCAGAACCTCAGCTGAAACGGTTCTGTAGAATTTCACGAGACTCGAAACAAATACCCATAAGTACGTAGCTGAGTACTAATGTAAGTACTTACCTGAGTGCTACTGTGAGTACTTATATTTGTATTACTATGAGTACTTACCTGTGTACTTTTGTGAGTACTTAACTGAGTAATCCTGTGAGTACGTAATTGTGTACTACTTACCTGTGAACTAAGTACTCCTGTGAGTACTTACCTGTGTACTACTTACCTGTGAACTACTGTAAGTACTCCTGTGAGTACTTAACTGTGTACTCCTGTGAGTACTACTGTGAGTACTTACCTGTGTACTACTGTGATTACTTATCTGTGTAGTTCTTTGACTAATTACCCAAGTACTACTAAGTGTACTTATATTTTTATTACTGTGAGTACTTACTTGAGTACTCATGTGAGTATTTATCTGAGTACAGTAGTCCCTCGTTTATCGTGGGGGATTCGTACCTTGAAGCCCCGCAATAAGTGAAAAACCACGAAGTAGGAAGAGTAGTACAAGTAATAGTTTATATATATATATATATATATATATATATATATATATATATATGAATGAAGGTGTTTTAAACCCTTCCCACACTCTTGCAATATTCTAAACAATGTTTCTAAATGCTCTAAAAGAGACAATGTCATGATTTCAGCTCACTGCCAATTGCAAGCGCTCTTGGCCACGCCCTCTTCCCCACTCTGCACAAAGATCAGCTGATCAGCTGCAGCAGGAAGTTTCTCCTGCAGCATGGGCAGCACAAAGGTGCAGCAGGTGCTAAATAATTTAAAATAATTCATTTAAAATAAAAATTCCATGCTGATCGTGCAACTCATCCATCAATCAGCCAATTGTGTGTCATGTCCAATCTTATTTTGAAAAACCATCATAGAGCGAGTCCACGATAAAAAGAACCACAAAGTAGCGAGGGACTACTGTACTAATGTGAGTATTTAGTTGTGTACTACTGTAAGTACTCCTGTGAGTACTCCTGTGCGTACTCCTGTGAGTACTCCTGTGAGTATCAGGAGATTCTGTTTGTCAGAACCAACTTCAGGCATCGATCAAGAAGTTTTTAAATCTTCTCAGAACCAGCTGGATCCATCCCTTGATTTTGAACCGGGTTTTGGTGTTCTGCTCCAGAATCTTCAGGGTCTGGATTCCCGACCCGGGACATCAGATCCAACATGAAGTCGGCACCACAGCAGAACCTGAGCAGAACCAGAACCTTCTTCTGATTTTAATTTCACGTTTTAAAGTCCGACTGGACCGAGCCGCAGCTGCCTGCTGGGTCGGACCTCCACAGGGACAGAACTGTTGACCTGGGGACACTAAAAGTGAGGACGTTTCAAATGTCCATCCTCATCAGAACCAAGACCTTCTGGATCACTGCAGGTCCTGGGTTTGGGTCTGGGGCCCGAAAAGTCTTGGATCAGGGTCTGGTGCAGAAGAACCTTCAGCGTCCGTTCGATTAGATTGAACCCTGACACCCCCATTGTCCTCCTGAGGGACAGACCTAAACCTCCTCAGGACGGCTTTTAGTCCATTCTATCGGCTCGTCCCCCTCAGGACAGTGACTCCTAGTCCTCAGGACGACAGATCCTTGTCTTCAGTAGGGGACTGCTCCTCCTCAGGGGGGCAGCTCCTGGTCCTCCAGGGGGACGTCTCGTCCCCCAGCAGGACAGGGACACCTTGTATATGTGCATGTGTCCATGTCTGCTGTGTGACAACGGACAGACTTTTGTGTTTTAATTTAAATCTTCGGAGGTGATTTAGTGTTTTTGTTGTGGTTCATTAGATTTTAGTTTTTTATCTTCTGGAGTCTGGAGACATTCTGAACTGTCCCCTAAAGACAGACTGACAGAGACGTCTCTGATCGGAGAAATCCCTCACACTGGAGACTTTAAACTTCTCGACTGTTCTAATCATGACAGGACAAAACACTGTTGGACATTTTAACGAGTTTCTGAGAAATAAGTCTAAATACACACCTGGACATTCTCCCAGTCTAAAGACACACCTGGACATGTCCTCACAGTCTAAAGACACAGCTGGACATGTCTTCACAGTCTAAACACACACCTGGACGTGTCCTCCCAGTCTAAAGACACCTGGACCTGTCCTCTGAGGGACAGCTGGGTGTCTGTAGGGGACAGTTCTGAAAGTGTCTCCCTCTGGTTGAGTAAACTCTTCCAGGTTAGCAGCAGGTTCTGGAGGGATGGCCCGGGTTCTGGACCCTCCTGTCCTGCACTCGTCCCCGGGTGTCTCGATGTTTCTGTTTTGATTTTTTGTGTTCCCGACAAATACTTGAATTTCTTAAACATGTTTAGAGTCAAAGTAGTAAACAAAAATAAACAAACAAACACTGGATGATCCTCACGTTTGACTCTTGTGTTTTAATGAGATCAAACAAACAACCACACAGTCTGGACCGCCAGAACCACACATTCTGGACCGCCAGAACCACACAGTCTGGACCGCCAGAACCACACAGT